TGTTTGTTTGTCTGTCTGTCTGTCTGTCTGTCTGTCTGTCTGTCTGTCTGTCTGTCTGTCTGTCTGTCTGTCTGTCTGTCTGTCTGTCTGTCTGTTTGTCTGTTTGTCTGTTTGTCTGTTTGTCTGTTTGTCTGTTTGTCTGTTTGTCTGTTTGTCTGTTTGTCTGTTTGTCTGTTTGTCTGTTTGTCTGTTTGTCTGTTTGTGTGTTTGTCTGTTTGTCTGTTTGTCTGTTTGTCTGTTTGTCTGTTTGTCTGTTTGTCTGTTTGTCTGTTTGTCTGTTTGTCTGTTTGTCTGTTTGTCTGTTTGTCTGTTTGTCTGTTTGTTTGTTTGTTTGTTTGTTTGTTTGTTTGTTTGTTTGTTTGTTTGTTTGTTTGTTTGTTTGTTTGTTTGTTTGTCTGTTTGTCTGTCTGTCTGTCTGTCTGTCTGTCTGTCTGTCTGTCTGTCTGTCTGTCTGTCTGTCTGTCTGTCTGTCTGTCTGTCTGTATGGACGGATGGATGTGTCGGTTTGTCTGTCTGGATGTGTCTGGACGTATATTTGCATGCATGTGTCTGTATATATGTTTGTCTGTATGTGTCTGTTTGTCTGTCTATATATGTTTGCTTGCTTGTCTTCTTGTCTGTCAGTCATTCTTCATTCAAAGGATTGGCAAAGGTTCAACGGTTGAAAATTGTTGTGTTAAATTGTGATTGTTATAAATGGGAATTATGATTATCTTTTTCAGGAGAGGAAGCGTTGAACGAATATCTCCGAACCAAAGTGGTGACAGTTGAGTATTAAAATAATGAAACACGATGCTCTAAGCAAAACTTAATAAAATATAATATAATCTTAATGGTTTTAGTATATGAAACGATTCAGAGATGTATCTAAGATACGAATAATATGCGTAAGTTGATATTTTAGGGTCACATATATATATATCATTTATTCATACTATAAGATATGACTGTAACATCTGTGTGATTGCATTTGTTTTATCGAGGGCATTTTAGGGAACACTTGGAATGTGGCAGAACTGATCTGATCTAAACTGTTCTTCCTAGAGGTCCAGTAAGGATTATCTCTGATTGATCCAGTGTTACTACAGGAGGAAACCTAAACTAAACTAACTTTATTTATACTGGATAGCTCTATCAGTTCTAAACTGTTCTTCTTAGAGGTCCAGTAATGATTATCTCTTATTGATCCAGTGTTACTACAGAAGGAAACCTAAACTAAACTAACTTTATTTATACTGGATAGCTCTATCAGTTCTAAACTGTTTTTCCTAGAGGTCCAGTAAGGATTATCTCTTATTGATCCAGTGTTACTACAGGAGGAAACCTAAACTAAACTAACTTTATTTATACTGGATAGCTCTATCAGTTCTAAACTGTTCTTCCTAGAG